AAAATGAGCCTAAAACTGATTAGAAAGGAAGGGAAAGTGTGGCCTAATCAAAATTATCAATTTCCAACTAAAACTCATTATATCAGTTACTATTTTTAAAAATGGTTCTGAGCCTCCAAAAATTTATTTTTCTCCATCAAAAATAATCTTTTAATATAAAAATGTCTCATGAATTTTTCTAAAATTTATTTCTGCCTCTAACCTCTTATACTAAATTTTCTCCCAAATCAGGTCTCATCGATAAAATTTCATCATAAAATATTCAAAAATAATTCCCTTCACATCCTGAGGCTAGAGATAATTTTTAAATTCATAATAATATTCTAAATAATTTTTTCATATTTTTTCCAAATTTATTGAGGCCTTAGGGTAGCTTGATCATAAAATGCTAATAAATCTTAGACATTCTGTAATAAATTATTTTTACCCCCTTTTCACATCTGGGACCTCATATACTATTCTAAATCCTCAAATCTCTATTTTTTCTAATTTTAGGAAATTTTTCAATTTTTCAGACACCCCCTTGCAGTCTGTCCAATATATACTGGATATTATGAAAATATCAGTCCAAACTCTGTCTAGATTTTATGTCACGTATGGCTTTACCAGCCAATCTACTTTTCCTATTAGCCTTTGACTTAATTTTTCATTCCCATTATCAGGATTTAAATTTACAGGATATGACAATGACCTAGATGGAGTAATATAATTTGTTGAAGGATAGTTAGAATATTACAATTTTGAATAAAATATGTAGAATTTTACACATGGTAGCTTATGTCTCTCATAAAGTGGCACCTTCATTCAATAAGAGGGACATTTAAGAGGGACAAACGGCACCTCGATGAGAAAGAGGAGAAGAGATGAGGCCAAGTATCCCATGATAAAAATCAATGGTTAAAATGGTTACCACATAGCAATTATGAAAACAAGTGTTATATATACCATTCCCTCTCCTCACCAATCACTCTTTTTTGGCCAGCAAGAGAGCTTGGAGGACAGATTGGTTTTAGCCAAGTGGAGAAGAGAAGGAGGAAAGAAAAATCAAGGCAAAATCAAGTGTTTCCAAGTCACTAATCAAGGTAAAAGCCTGATTATTCTATCTAGTGTTTGATTCACTTAGGATTGATGGTTTTAAACTTGATTTTAATGGAGTTTAATGGTTGGAAACTCCAAGGGTTCATGCTGCATGAATTGTCTCTCTTTGATTTATGATTGATATTAAGTTGTTATATGGATTAAAGGATAGAAAATGATTTTTTAAAGATGATTAAACATTATTATTTTGAAGATATCAAGTGTGCATGCATGGGATGCTGTTCAGCCAAGGGAAGAATGTTGCCCTAAGGTTTGATTCCTATTGTTTTGATGCTTCTAATGGATCTAGAAGGTGATTTTGATTAGGAATGTATGAAGAATATGTGTTTGGAGGCATTAAAATTGAAAATAAGAGTTTTGGAACCTTAAGGAACTCATTAGGCCAACTTGAAGAAGGAAGGAAGGAGTTGAATTTTGATAAACCTAAGTTTAAAAATGGATTCTACATGAACAATTATGTGAGAAAAACCTATGGGAATTATGGAAAGAATGATGATAGTAAAACCCTAAATTAAATGTTAAAAGGGTAGGGTTTTAAAATGGATTGTATAATAAATGGTATTATTGATTTCGAATACATTTATTCTTGTTATTTGATAGGTTATATTGTTAAGCAAGTGGAAGCTCAAAAATCAAGAAGGGAGGCTGTGTAATCCAAGGACACAATAGGTAGCATAGAACTTAAAATTTTAATGTTATCTTACTTAGTTATTACTTTGTATAATTTCTTAAATATGTGCCATGTTGTGATTGAACTTGTTTGATGATAATGTGTTTGATTGGTTGCATTGTTTTCCTTGGCAAAATGCACTAGTATATTGATTTTGGATTGGTTGGACATGATCTTGCATGGCATGAAAGTTAATGGATGTTTTGTGAACTTACCTTGCTTGATTAATATTATGATTGTAGTTCTTTGCTATTGAGATTTCTATGAAATCTCATTCCTCTCTGTATCCAAACAATACTAATAGGGGCCTGCAAGTGGTATTGGCAAAGGCAAGAAGGTAGTCACATCATGAAGAATATTTTGATGAAATTATAATGAACTTTATGCCTAAATGTTGTAATATTTATGAAGTGATTTTGTAACACCTTAACTTTACTCATTTTTGTAGCAAATAGAAACAAATGGAACAATTCATTAAGCTTTTAAGTTGGTAAATTATAATTTTTAAAACTTTTTTTCTCAGGGTACTATTCACATAACGCTAACATTTAACCAATTTTGAAAAATCATAACTAATTCTAAAAAAAAATAAGAAAGAAGTAGTTCTAAGTTTTATTTGAAGATTTCAATGATATCTTTAAGGGAAAAATAATTGCAGGTTGTGTTTTCCTCTTATACGTTCCCAGATTTCATGGAAAGATGCATTGTTCATTTGGTCATTTCTCTAATTTTTCAGAATTAATGCCTAATTTTGGGAAGGCAAAAAGTTTTGTACAAAACCCCAAATTCAATGAGTTACCACTCATTTTAAACCTAAAACTAAGATCTACTAGAATGTTAAGTATGAGATTTGAAATTATCCACTTGCCCAAAATTTCACAGGTCAAAGTTTAGGTACCTATTGGTCAAACCTCATCCACTTGATGCTAATTTTTGTACCATAACATTTGATCAATCCAAAACTTATTCAATATACTAAACGACAAGAATCCATGCTTTAGTCAAGTTATATAGCATATAAAAGCCATAAAGTCAAACATCTCATATTACAAGTTATACAAACAAGGTTCCAAAATACTAAACACAAGCAAGATCTTCACATTCAAGCCACCTCCTTGCTCTTTTCCTTAGAGCTTCTATCTCCTAATAACTGTAATTCAAATATAATGGGATAAGATTCCAAAGAATCCCAATAGCAAAGAACATCAATTCAAGCATTAAAAAGTACGGTAAATTCATGCCATATGTGAACATTAATCAAGTCATAAAACATATTATTGATATGCCATGGAAAGGGAGCATAAATGATACCATTCAATACCTCAATTAAACATATTTTCCTAGGCATTAATGCAAGGATTTAATCACATTTCCACATATATAACTCAACAACATCATGGCACAAACACATAATATAAACAACTAAACAATTTAATGCAAAAATTAAAAGTTCTTGCTACCTCTTACTAGCTTTGATCCTTGGTTCCTTTCTCTTGTTCTTGAGCCCCTTTTTGCTCAATGTCGAAGCCTATTAATCAAACAACACAATGGCATTGTCATTAACTTCAACAAAACTTATTAGTACTTTAACCTAAAACCCTAACCTTTAAACCTTTATTTTAGGGTTTTAGTATCCTCCTTTTCTAATTTGACTTTCACATGCTTTTCCTATATGATTTTTCATGTAGAATTCAAATATGAATTTAGATTTATCAAAATCCCACTACTCCCAAAACTTCATTTCTTTATGCTAATAGCTCTCTTTTAATGAGGAGAGATCTCTTAAATTTTCTTAGAATTTATTTCAATTCCTAATTCTTTGAATTAAATTTTTCATGAAATCGGCCTTTTGCCAATAGAAATTAAGCTTTAAGTATTTTTAAAGCTATTATCTACAATTTTTAAGGTCAAGAACAATTTTAAAATTCATGATAATTCCCTAAGGAACTTTTCTAAATTTTTCATGAATTATTGAGGCCCTTAAGTATTTTAAATAATTCAATTTGGCCAATTTTTCGTTAATTAGCCATAATTCTAGGAAAATACTGAAAATTTCCATTTTTATTCTATTTTCAGTTTTCAGGCCTCTAACACTGTTCCTTGCCTTTTATTATATTTTTCATGATTTTTTTAGAATTTTTAGGATTTCCAATTGTACCTTTCTATACTGATTAATATTGATCGGATATTTTAAAATGATAGTCCAGTCCTGGATTTGATCTCAGTTCCAAAGTTATCCCACCTAAATTTTCACTACCCTTGACCAATTCTAATTTCCTTGTTTTCATAATTAAAATTAACAGGGTATGATAATGTTTGGTCGACCATTAAGACTTGTAATCTATGTAAATACTCTTGTTATATGCTGTGAATCATGGTATAACTATGATTGAGTGGTTAAAGTTGAGTTATGGCAAGTTAAACTTAAAAAGGGTAAAAGTTAATCTAAATGGAGTCAAAGTTTGACCACATAAGATTTGGAGCAAATAAAAGAGTTTGGTCATGAAATTTTACATATCAATAGATCTTATTTTTATATTTAAAATGAATGGTAATTCATAAAATTTTGAGTTTTGTATCGGGGTGGAAGTAGGTTAGGCCAGGCTATCACCTTAACAGGCTAGGCTTGACTTGTAACAAATAGGCCTAAGCCTAGCCTATCGCCTATCAAAGGCATTCTTTTCGGCCTTAGCTTGGCCTATACAAAAGCCTAGCTTGGCCTGAAGCTTGTTAACAGGCCTGTAGTTAAAAAAAAAAAAACCACTAACAGGCTAACAAGTCGACAACAAGCATTCACAGAAAACAGGCCTAGGCCTCTACACAGGCCAAAAACAGGCATTAACAGATCACATGTCCTGGCTTTTAAACAGGCTGAAACAAGCCACAATGACATAAATAAACTCAAAATAATAAAGTCACAATCCAAAAGTACCTAAAATACAACACACAAGCTGATGCAATTTAATTAGTCAATAAGAAAAATACCAAATGCAACAACAGAACAAGTTTGATTACAATTACACCAAATAAAAGTATAGCCACCAATCATAAATCATCAAATTTTCAACATAATTTCTTCATCTTGTTTGAACACCTTGAAAAAAAAGAAATTAAATGCATAATATTAGATCATAACACAATTCGAGAAGTAAGAAGAATAAGAAATGGTATCATTTTTGCAATGTAAAATTTGTACCTTTGGTTTTTTCCTCAAACCATACTTGTTGCGAAGCTAATCCCCACCACAAATAATTGCTTCAATTGATTCTTCATTCAATTTGGAATGACATTCATCAATAACTCTACCTCTAACACTAAATGTGGACTCTGATGCCACGGTTGAGATTGGAATGACTAATACATCAGCAGCCATCTTAGATAAAATCTTATACTTTACGCTATTATTTTTCCATGATTCCAAGGCATTTAACGAGTTAGAACTATCATCAAGAATATAAACACCATCTTCAAAGTAAGCTTCCAATTCTAATTTCATTGGGAGAACTGCTTACTGTTCACAAACAATGCTTATGATTTGGTCAAATCCAGTAATTATAAAGAACTAGGTGCATTAGCAGAAGAGTTGTTGCCAGCATTATCAACTTCATTATTACTAGTTATCTCTCCTTTAGACATGCTTGCATACTCATCATATATTGATTTCAAAGCATTCACCACTTTATCTATATCTTAGAAGCCACATAGTCAGGCTTATAATCAAAGGAAAGAAATAATTAACAACATATAATTTGCATCTAGGATCCAAAATACTTGCAATGGCCATTAATATATTGCATTCTCCCTAATATTTGTCAAAATTTTCTTTTATTGAGAAATCACCATCTTTTGTGACATTGTCAATTACTTGTTTCACTCTCCAAACTTTAGGGAGGTACAAATTTGAATTGGGATACTCACTACTTGAGATGACATGGAAGGCTAGATTGAACTCTTCTAAAAGTTTACAAATCTTCTCAACTTTATTCCAATCATCTTCTGATAGTGCGTAGTTATAATGTGGCTCTCTTTCTTTATAATCAGAAAAGACAACCTTAAACTTTAAAGCAGTAGACAGCAACCTATATGTCAAATTCCACCTTCTTGGATAGTCAATAATAAGCTTTCTTTCCTTCAAACATTTCTGCTCAACAATACCACAAAATGCTTTCAACCTTGAGTCATTATAAGTGATATATTTCACACTCTCATGAATATTATGTATAATGTCCCTAATTCTACCAAGGCCATCTTGCACCATTAAGTTTAATATGTGTGCACAACATCTAACGTGAAACAAATTACCACCTAGAGGTAATGTACTACTAAGTGATAAAGTGTCCCTAAGAGCTCTTAAACAAGAATCATCATAAGAGACATTGTCAATGGACACAGAAAACACTTCATTTTCAATACCCCAAGCCTTTAAACACTTAAAAATAGCATTTGCCACATCAATTCCTCATCTAGGAGCAGGAACTTTCACAAAACTCAAAACTCGCTTTTGAAGATTCCACCCTGCATCAATGAAATGCTTAGTGATAACCATGTATTCAACTGCTTGTTGAGCTAATTTTCACATATCAGTAGTCAAACTAATCTTGTTAACACCTTCTAATAAGGCCTTTAATTGTTTATTCTTTGCCTCGTATATGGCTAAACAATAATTTCTTACTATCTTGCGAGATATTTTTTAAAATTCAAAATTTGCATATTGGAAGCCCCACATCCAAACTTCATCCTCAACAATGTTAAAAGGATGTTCATGCACCATGAATGCTATAGCCATTATTTCCCTCATCTTTTCATTAGAATATCTAGCACCTGGTGTCACACCTTACTTATATAATATCTTAGCATTCATTTAGAACCATTCCAGACCACTTTGGATGGTCTTAAGCTTAAAAATTTCAATTTGGACATTAATTTTCGGAAAATTACTGTTCACTGTCCAGTTTTCAGATTACAGGTCCAACTTTGAAAATTCATAATTAAATCTAAAAAACTCCAAATTGAGTGATTCCAAGTCTCACTGAAATATAATTAAGTTAAATTTAAAGTAAAAATAGTTTCAGGAACCAATTCTACTCAGAACAGTACCAGAATTGTACGGAACTCGACAATCTCCCAAAAGTTCAACACTGTTTCCAGATTTCAAACCCTAACTTTGAAAAATCACCATAAATCGTACACATATCCAAATAAAGTGTTCTACCCATGGATTTAAAGCTCATAGAGTGTACTTTAAGTATGCCAAATATCAGAACCAGATATAAACAGTAACTAATTTGAAAAAGCCATCAAATCAGCACGTAATTCTTCCAATTTTCACATAGATCCACTTGGATCTACCATACTTTGAGGTGTTCTAGCAAGATCTAACAACCAAACTCCCTTCCCCACTCATCAACCATTTCGACCAGCCATCAAAAGGGAGAGAAGACATATTTACAACCATAAAAGAGAAAGAAACCAAGGCAAGAACACATCTAGAGCCAAGAACTCACCTTGAACCTTGATTGTATGACCAAAGTTGATGCCTTTCTCTTGGTTTTCCCTCAAAACTCTCTCTTTTTCCCTCTCTTCATGCCTTGCACAAAATTCCCATCTGATTTAGGGGAGAGATGAGCTCATTAATGTGTACAAAATATCCCACCAACCATCATTAATGTTATGCCAAGTGTCATTAGCCTACTTAATCTTAATCCTCTCTCTTAATTAACTTAAATCATAATGTAATTAAATTCCAAAGTCAAGATCCTTTCCATTGGTAGCTTGACACTTGAAAAACTTTAATTACCATCCATTAAAGGCTTGACAAGTGGCTACTTGTGGGCCAAACAAAGTGCAAGACTCTGATTAACACTTTATCGGTGCACTTTTACTCCGGGTTTAACTTCTTTTCTATAATTACAGTGTTCTGGTCTCTGTAATTATTTTTTGTCAGATCCATAAATTCTCTTTAATTTTAGAGAGTATCTATGAATTTTCTTAGCCCATAACACTTCCTTTAAGCCTTGAATAAAATTCATTTACTAAAATACCCTTTTATCGGCAAAACCGGCTCTTTAATTTCTTAAAGCCACTCTACTGGCCTTTTGGTTGCGGGACTAATTTTATAAATTAGTACAACCTTTCAACCCTTTAACCTCATTTTTGTATACACTTTTGAGGTCTCTTGCTATTTCAAATAATTACCTCAAATGGTATACTTTTTACCGGTCACAACCTCATAAATTCCATTTAAGCTGCCTCAGGGGTATTTTCATCTTTTCTCTTCATAGAAGAGTCTTAGAATATTATTTCCTATTTTTTTGGGATTTTCTTGGAATTTTCTGTACACTCTTCCATTTTTGCCCTTGCTGGTCATAACTTTTTGAATTTACGGTTTTACCCCTGCTTAAGTCTAACCTCATAGAACCATCTCTTTGAGGTTTCTAACTTACCCATTGGCCTGTATCTAGCCTCTTTTCTCTTTTTGGGCCTTCGAGACTTTACTGGAGCCTCTAACCTTAATTATACTCGAGCCCCTGAAAACTTTTACTTTGCAGTTTAGTCTCTGAAACTGCTTTAACTTCCTTTCTCATCTTTGGGACTTCTGCTCACAGGGGTCTGGTAACCTATTTAATTTAGGCTATTTCTGGTACTTCTAGGCCTAAAAGTCTAGATGTTACACCTGGTGCCAAAAATGGGTTAATACTTGGACTAGAAGGCTAAAATGGAATCGTGGGTTGCTTGTTTTATGAAGAAACAAGCAACTTTGTTTGCAAATAGACATTGACATGTCTTTGAAGATGGCTACTGCTAGTTCCCTCCCTTGAGTATCCAAATAGTTGTTTGCAATACTTGCATTTCCCTTTGACCCCATTTTCAGTTTCAACTTGATCAAACTCCTCCTAAATGGTTGAGGTTTTTCACCTCTTTTGAATAATACTATCATTACCATCATTTTCTTCATTAGTTTGTTGACTAGAATCTGTTGGTGCTTGTTGACTAACCATAATAGCATTAGCAGGAACTAAATTAGATGATATTGTTTCACTATCAAATAGAGATGACATTAACTAGAAATGAATCATAAAGAATATATTAACGTGCCATTATTGATGCAGAATATTAGTCAAATAAATTGGAAAAAAAAAAAGAATCATGTATCAGCACATAGCATTAAAGGATGAATAATATAGCAACACATAACATTTTTTAAAAAATATGTGAACTCTAATAGCACTAAGTCTATCTTCTTCGTCATTGTTGCCAATCCAGAAAAAGTCAATAGCATACTACTTTATCCAAATTTGATCCTACTATTCAAATTTAATTTTGTGGTAGCATATCTAGAATTATAAAAATGAATACTACTTTATTTGAATTTAATCTTATTATTTAGTTGACATGATCCTTCTTTATATAGCGCAAATGACAATAAATGGAGAAGTCTGCAATCATAGCCAAAGGTTTATGTATTAATATTGGTATAAATTAATCGGTTCTATGACTAAAGTAATAGCGAACAAAGTTTAATATTGATTCTTATATATTGATTTTTAAATCCAATCAACAAAGGTGGCAGGCTGGTGGCCGAGTGCTTAGAGACAAGGGGTGAATGATCAATTCTATGACTAATAGGGTAATAGGGAACCAACACAAAGCTTCAGAGTTTCATATACTGATGATTTTGAAGGAACTAGGAAGATTGCCTATTAATTTTGAAGGAACTAGGAAGCTTACCTATTGATGACCCACGAGTTAGATGAGGATTGAGGACTGATAAGGAGGAGTCAACACCGGTGATGTTGTGGCTGGTGAGGTCTGACCATTCAAGCTCAAAGATGTGGCTTGGGAGTTGGGAGTCGATATGGCTCGTAAGGACTGAGGAGGAGGAGGAGGAGCAGTCGATGCCACCATCAGTAATGTGGAGTCTAACCATACAAACTCAGATATAGAGGCCAGAGAGTGAGCGGCACTTGCGGTGGGCACAAATGCAAGCTGAAATAGAGAATATGGCAATGGCACCAAATACAGAATGTGGCTGTAGTCTGTGGAGTGGAAAATTTGAAATGATAACAAGGGAAAACCTAATCTATGGTCCGTGGAGTAAATCTTTTTTTTTTTTGCCAGTTTATCTAACTGGCTTTAAAATTATATATCATGTATAAAAAGCAATGACAAAACACATTTGTGCAGTGGTGAAGTACCTATCTTCTCACCTACCCATAGGTCTTAAGTTCAAGACTTACATTTTACATAATACACATACATAATATTCAAAAAACATAATAGGCTCAGGCTACCAGACAGGCCCTATAGGCTTCTCACAGAGCCTGAGCCTAGCCTATTAAGTGAAATAGGCCTTCAAAAAGGCCTGAGGCTGTGCTTATTTTTTAATAGGCTTGGCCTGAACAAGTCGAAAGCAGACCAGGTTTGTCACATCCCATCAAATTTGACCCTGGGAATGTGAGTAATAAATTAGATAGAGGGTCAAGTAGTAAGGTAAACTCAGAGTGAAAATCACTTTTGAATTAAGATTTGACTCTTGTTCGGACTGATATTTTCGAAATTATCGATTCAAGAAAGGCAAAATGGAAGAATTGAAAAAAAAATTCTAAAAAATTCTAAAAAAAATCATTAAAAATAAATGAGAGGTTTTGAAACCCTAATTGAGGCCTTGAACATGGAAATAGCATAAAATAGCTTAATGTAGAATTTCATGAAAATAGAGGTTTTTCAAGAAAAATAGTAAAAATGAGTGAAAATGATTATTTTAAATATGTAGAGGCCTCAATAATTCTGAAAAAATATGAAAAAAAAATTCTAAAACTTTCCAGATTGCTTTCCTATGTTAAAATAGGATTTCTCATGAGAAAGATGTGATTTTGGAGGCCTAGAATAATTATAAAAAGTTACAGGTGAATAGTAATTGATAAACTTTATTTTTGCTTGGAATTGATATTTTGTGATTAGGCTACTTTTCTTGATCATTCTCAATAAGAATTGAGCCTTATTTTGGGCCAAGAAAAGCCCAAAATTTTATGCAAAATAGTGGGCCCATAATTAGAGAGGTTTAAGCCCAATTTTAGTCAAAATATCCATGGAATATTCTAGAATAAGGACACTTGGCATCATTAGCAACTTCGAGATATTTGATGGCAGCCACTTGACCTCTTAGGTGGTAGAATATCATGCCACTTTGAGGGGGAAGAGGTCAGAAAATTTTTCTATGATTACCCCCTAAAACACTTGAAATTCAGTGGAAATTAG